AAAGTAAGACCTACCCCCAAAATAAGCTCTAGCTTGATTTTTTGAGGGTGGGCCTAATATAAACCCTACCCCCAAAATAACCCCTAGTTTTGGGGCGAGGTGCATGCCTAAAATTCAAGCTAGAGCGGGGAGGGTGGAACTTACCATTGCAGCCAGGCCTCCCATGGATCAACACTTGCTTCACCGGAAGGAGCAGTTTCATTCTGCAGCTGAGAATGGAGCTCAGCCTGTATTTCGCAGTCAGAGGCCTTTCCAGAAGGCCTGTGTAGTTCTCGGCTGCAGAAATGCAGGCTGAGCTCCATTCTCAGCTACCAAATGAAGCTGCTCCTTTGGCCGCAGAAGTGGGCCGGCTGGGCGAGGCTGTCGGTGCCGCCACTGCGAGGTGAGTGGAAAAGACACCTCTCCCGAAAATAAGACCTGGTGCCTCTTTTGGAGGCAAATAACAACAACAACAACAACAATAATAATAATAGGTCTTATTTTGGGAGAAACATGGTATTTGGCATTGGTTGCTTAGTCTGGTCTACCTTATTGGGCTGACACTAATTCTACATAGAGGGATTTGATTGACACTGACAAATAAACATAAAGGTCTCTCTCCTCTTCCATGAATGAAAAAAAGGATTTGCTTTCCAATCCTGTATCTTCTAGAAGCTTGAAAAGAAGCTGGTGTCCAAAACACAAAGAATGTACATGGGTGTGGGGTTGAGGGTGGATAGAACAACAGGTATCAAAAGATCTCAGGAAGCAAAGCTCCTCTAATCGTGTACAGAGTAAGGCGAATAATCTTCATGGAGATATGCAGGAACTGTTTTCTAGGCAAAAGGGGCTGAAGCATTTTTTAAGTCCAAAACAACAAGACATCATTTGGAAGTAACTCAGATAGATTTCTTCTTATTTCATTGGAGTATAAGGAGAAGGAAGAACAGCACAGAATTGCAAGATTTTGTTGTAATGGACAACCTCAATAAAAGCAGTTTTAGTCTTCCTGCACCTGCAACATACCTCTGACTTGGTTTTTAAATAATAAGGAGCAAAAGGTTAACACATTCTAAATATTCTGAGACTAGTCTTTGGTAGTTTTAGGATGTGGGGGGGCGAATGTTACATTTATATGGTACTATTAATGACCAACGTAAGCCTGGCTCACTCATGGACAGAGGGTGAGTAAAGATAAGATTGTAGGAAATTAGCATAATTGGGTTATGACTGTGCCATGCTAAGATACAACTGAGAACAGGTCCTACGACATAAAGCAGCAGATAGTGCATGATATCTTCCATTTACGTCATGAAAATTCCAAGAAGTATATTCCTTCACTCTTTAATCCAATTTTCCTCAATATGGCATCTTCCAGATGTGTTGCAATTACAACTTTCCCTACAAACATTTGCCTTATATTTAACTTTATTCTGTAAATCAGAAATGGAGGCTCAAGACTGCCATCTGATGGTACAACTGCTTTTACTGTACATATTATACTCAACCAGATGAAATATTTTTTTATTATTTATTTGTTAAATTTATTTGCTCCCTATCTTGTCATGGGGCTACTCTAGGCAGCTTATAATAATAAAAAGGAAGAAAATGAAAGGAGTATAAACAGAAGTAAAATAAGAGAACCTATAAAATAAACAATGAAAAAGGAATACACTGATGATATATCAATATGATAACCAAAAAGATAGATGGGTGGAGAGCAGAGAGCAAGCATGGGGAAGTCAGAATCATAATTCCTCTTTCTTTTCCAACATCTCCAGATATTTTGGGAGTACATGCAGCAAAAGTTTCTGAGAGGTTGCTGTATATTTTGGTTACTTGTTGATGAATCACCCTGCTCTAGCTGTCTCAGACTCAGCTCAACCCAATTTTCTGAAGTATATATGATTTTTCTGCCAAGGATAATAGGCAAATTCTTAGGAAGATAAACAGCACTCAGAAAATTAGTTTAAAAAACTCAGTTTTTACTATTGTGCCCACCAAACTTACTGGTTACCAGGAAATGGAAGAAAATCATGTAACGCCTAGGGTCTGCCCCACAAAGCAGAGGGCAGGATTAAGATGATCATGTTCCTCTCCTTGGAAGAAGACTTCCTGAAAATGGCCATGAATGATCTAGTGACTAGAGGGGAAGAGGTATGCCGGCAGTTTCATACAGCAACCAATTTATCTTGAAATTAAACCACAGCAGAGAATCCTACAAGCTGGGCTCTTGCCAGGACAAGTAAAAAAAAACATCACTTTTAAAACAGAACAAGAAAATTCTGCTCCATGATAAAAGTCCTGATAAGGCGCTTTGTTTGGTGACTGTTTTGGACTCCAGGGGTGGGGAAGCTAGGGTTTCAGTAAGACCCCACCCTCATCTAAATCAGAGATTCACTGCCTGTCCACTCTCATCCCCTGGAGGGTGCTTGCTGAATGTCAAGTAGTTGGCCAGGGAGGAGGTCCCCAGATTTGTTGAGGTGTGCCAGAAGGGAGCAGCAGTGACCACAACTCGAGCTGGCTTCCTCTATCTCTGGTTAGCAGTTCCAATGATGACCATTGGATCATGCTACTGAGGAAAATGGGCCCAAAAACCAAGCACCCCAGGAAGGTCTCTGGATTAGCAATAGCATTTAGACTTATATACTGCCCCATAGTGTTTTACAGCTCTGAGTGGTTTACAGCAGGGGTGTCAAACTGCCGGCCCACAGGCCGGATGCATCACAAAACTGCGCCCACCCCATTGCCAGCAATGGGGAAAAAGCTCCGATATATTGTGCGATGTCATGTGACGTTGCGAGTTTGACATGTCTGGTTTACAGAGTCAGTATCTTGCCCCGAACAATCTGGGTCCTCATTTTCATGACCTCAGGAAGATGGAAGGCTGAGTCAACCTTGAGCCCCATCAGGATCAAACTCCTGGCAGTCAGCAGAATTAGCCTGCAATACTGCATTCTGACCACTGCACCACCAGGGCTCCTTAATTCAATCCAGTGGTACATCACTGGAGGCTTTTAAGAAGAGACTGGACAACCATTTGTCTGAAATGTTAGGGTCTCCTGTATGAGCAGGGGGTTGGACTAGAAGACCTCCAAGGTCCCTTCCAACTCTGGTATTCTGTTGTAAGTTTGCCAGGTGTAATGTCAGTTCAAGACCTCTCAATTTGGCTGTAAATTGCTTGTGGTTAGTAACTCATTCAGAAGAGCCCCTGGTATAAGGCTTGGTTTTCAGGCTGATTAGGATTCAGATTGATTTGTTATATGTCATCAAGTTGTTTTCAGGCTCCTACCAACCACATAGATTTTCTCCATAGCAATCTAGTAGCCCTAAGCTGTTCTTTCAGGTGACTTAAGTGATTCTGAGGTACTATCTATTCTCTTTCACTTTTCAAAACATTTGTTATTTTTGGCTCAGGTAACCTCAGTTACCGGTCCTTCTCTAGGAATCCTGAATGCTCCAGGATTCTCTGGAGTTGCTTGAGCACATTATCTTATCTAAACCTAGCACAGTGATGGCGAACCTTTTAGAGACCGAGTGCCCAAACTGCAACCCAAAACCCACTTATGCATTGTCGAGTGCCGGGTGGGTGTGGCCCATTGGGTGGGCGTGCCCCATTGGGTGGGCGTGGCCCATTGGGTGGGTGTGGCTGCAGTGGTAATAGGAGACTGGGTGGGACTAAAAAGTTCAATCAATCAATTCCAATTTTGCAAGATATATTTTTTTCCTGCGACAAGTTGAAATTGACTGATTGAACCTTTTTTTTTTTTTGGCACACGGCGGCGGAGGTCTAAAGCGAAAAGGTTTTATAAAACCCAGCTGAAGGCCTAGGACTGGGCTGACGGCGCGGGTGCCCACAGAAAGGGCTGAGTGCCGCCTCTGGCACCCGTGCCATAGGTTCGCCACCACTGACCTAGCACTTCCCTCCTCTTAAGGAAGAGTATTAACTTTATTTTGGTTTGGTTATTGCAGTGTCTTAGAATGACCAGGAGTCAACACTTTGCTCATGAGTGGTGAGCAACCTTATTGACAGGTTTTTAATATTATGGCTATTGTTTCCAGGGTAGGCTCCTTGTTCAATCTGGCCACTAGAGGTGTCTATGTTGCTATTAACAACGGCTAGTACAACACACAATATCAAATTATTTCTAATATGCAGCAATCACAATACATACAATTATAATTCCCAATCTAATGTAGAACTGGTTACATAGGGAAGTAATGGGCTCCTCTTCATTGGATGTGTTCCAAGACAGGATGGGCAGATTTCTATTATGAAAGTTTTAATTAGGATTCGTGCAGGGAGGAGGATATTGGACTCTACTGTATAGTCTAACTCAGGGGTCTTCAAACTTGGCCCTTTTATGACTTGTGGACTTCAACTCCCAGAATTCCTCAGCCAGCGTGTCTGGCTGAGGAATTCTGGGAGTTGAAGTCCACAAGTCACAAAAGGGCCAAGTTTGAAGACCCCTGGTCTAACTAGTATCTCCGAAGTCGCCACAGAATTGTGTGGAAAGAATGACTTATCTTTTGTTCATCTTGCTTAATAGGATCACGTAGTAGTGCAAGTCCAAATCAATGGAACTTATTATGCAACTTTAGGCTAGTCAGTAGACTGCAAGCATGCAGAAGAGAAAAATCTGAATATTAATATAATAAATAAAAACAAATAAATTTTAGTTCCTATGAGTTGCTTCAAGAAATGAGAAAGCTATTCCAACTTTTGCTTGATTTGGCACTGGACACGTCGCTTTCAAATCATTATAACCACTGACTGATAATGGATCATTAATATGTATACCGTCTATGAGCAGATGTTACCACTTTTATTTTAACCAAAGACAAACATTACCTCCCAAATGAACGGGAAACCAGATCCACAGATTTAAAAACCCGCGGGCTGGTAACACGACTCAGCAGTTCTATCGGTCTTCGTTTGTTGCTGCCTGAAATGACACGGCGCGCCGTTCTAGGACTCTTAGGCGATTCAGAAAGCTTGCCTATCTGAGCTCGATTAGCCTGACTTGGTGGTTCCGGTGCCGCGCTGGCCGTTCATTCCTCCTGGAGATGCGGTGACGAGTTCGGCTTTGGATCTTGGGGCGGCCGTCATGGCTAATGGTGAGCAGCTGATCCTTAGTCCGGTTCTCTCCCTCCCTCCCTCTGAAACGCTCTCCTGGCCCTTCTCTCGGGTCATGTTGTGCATTCCCCGCTCGCCGGCCCAGCGAGTACTTAGGCTCCCGCGAGTGGGGCGGTTCCCTCGGGTCAGGGTCCCCCCCCCGCGGCCGCCGTGGGGTCCGTGAGTCAGTCTCCCTTTCATGCTCCCCACGTCCCCTGAATGCAGGAACGGTCCACCCAACCGGCCTTGACTCTCTTTTTCCTGTTCTTCGCAGTGTACTCCCTGGACGGGCTCCTGGTCTTCGGCTTGCTCTTCGTTTGCACCTGCGCCTACTTCCGGAAGGTGCCCCGCCTAAAAACCTGGCTTCTGTCGGAGAAGAGGGGCGTCTGGGGTGTGTTTTACAAAGGTCGGCATCTCGCACAGAGCGCTAAGTACCGACACAGGAAAGCAGAGGGAAAACTTTAAGACAAGCGGGAGTAAGTCCTGTCGGAGAAGCGTTGAGTAGGAGCAGAAGCGAAGCTGATTGCATCTCCGGGAGGAAGGACAATTTTAGACTCAAGGGTTTTAAACCTTTTTGCCATGGCACTTCTCTTTAGCTTACACACCTCCCTTTAAAAAAAAAAATCCGAACACAAATGAGCAATGGAAACAGTACAATAAAACTTTGGAATAGGTGGATTCATTGTGATAATGAACAACTAAAAGGTTCTTTTTTCCCCCACACTTTCCCTGGGACTCTTTCTGCATTTCCCCAAGAGAGATACCCCTCATAGTTTGGGAAACCCTGGGTTAGATGGAAGATAGTTTGGTGTGTAAATCGGACCTGGGTGGATAGGAGACATTAATTAAGGATCTGCTATATCAGTGTTTCTCAACCTTGACAATTTTAAGGCATGTGGACTTCAACTCCCAGAATTCCACAGCCAGCATTGCTGGCTGTGGAATTCTGGGAGTTGAAGTCCACATGCCTTAAAATTGTCAAGGTTGAGAAACATTGTGCTATATGATCCTCTTGTGATTTAGCTTTAAATGTCTTTACATTTGTTTGTTTTTTTATAAAGTAAGAGAGTGGTGACACTTTGATATAATTGGAAATGGTAGGTGTTCCTTATATATAGTAAACTTTTCCTCCAGCTTTAGCGTTGGTATAGCATACCTATTGAGATTGGAGGAGTTAATCATGCTTAAGCTTATGTTACTGACAAAGGCGGTATGACAATGTGCTGGTGACTATCACTTTCATTGGTTGACTGGAGGTCAGCAAATTGGGTAGAGGTAGACTTCTATTATTGGAGTGGTTTCTGCTGTGGCTCTAAAGGTGCTGACAATGTTATAGAAGGATTCTATATCAGCGACAAGTTGAAAAACCTTAGAGATTCTGTGAGTAGTATGCAGAAAACTGGTTTGAAATGTTAGGTTGAAAGGTTTGAAGTTAGTAAGGTTAGCACTGCACTCTTAGTGTGCATTACAAGAAAGCATTTTTATTTTTCGTCATTCTCGAAGAATTATATGAAATGACATGTGCTTACTATTGTTTGAATAATAAATGGTCTTTGATGTTTTTCAGCGGCTATCATTGGTACCAGACTTCATTCAGCAGTGGCAATATCTTGTATTGTCATGGCTTTTTATGTCCTCTTTATAAAATGAATCCCACTGCTTCAGATGGACAACTGTTTAAATGAAGACACTATGTTCTTTTGCTTCAGAGGACTGTACCTCCTAGCAGAATTGACAAGAATCTCTACAAACGGCAAGAAATTATTCTGTGGCCATGTCTTGCTTGAGACCAAGGGAATGTTGTTTAGATAGAAACAATCTTCTGTGCGTCTAAGAGAGTTTCAACAAAAATCAAAAGATTATTTTATGTGCAGATTATTAAAATCAATATTAGTCTATACAAGAGAAATATCACAGGTTTATGGCAAGTAGAAATGAGTGATGTTTTTTCCAGAGTTTGATATAACATGGAAGTGGAACAATGTTTCTTTTGTCCCCAAAATGTAGTAGCATTGAAAGGCTGTAGATTTGTTTTCTTTGATTACTGCACTTTGAACCCAAACTCATAACAAATAACTGAAGATGAGAAACTCACCAGTGATAGAATAAAATATTTGTGCATTGTGGAATTCTTGAAGAATTGAAACATAAAGGAAACAAATTACAATTTGGTGATGTTCACTTATCTTTTGCTATAGTTAATAATCTTGCCACCTCATATAAATGGCTGAGTATGTTTAAAATGTCTTGTTATTTTGTAGAACCCTGTTTGAAAGTAAGAATTAAAAGAACTTAAAATGTGGTATGGTATAGGAGAAAACAGTGGGGGCATATGCTGTTATATAAGATGTGAGATGCTAACATGTTTAAATTACATTTAAAGATTACATGTATATTTTGAGAAGTGTACATACTTAAAGAGTTGTTCTAGTCTTTATTTTTATTATACTTTTAAATTTCCCTCATTCCAGCCTTCCTCTTGATAGTAACCTCCTATCACCACGTGCTTTAAGTGTAGGAGATTCTCTTCTAAAATAGGAGCATTACTGTAAAAGAGCATGTTTGACTTGTCTGTTTAAAGTTTATAATGTAAGCATCTGACAGATTCACAAATAGTTTCAAGGTTGGCCCTAAATAATTTTAATCCATTGTTTTGTATATCAGTTCAATCTGAGAAAGCCAAGTTTCTTTTTCAACCTTGTACATTTTGTCACAGACAAAACCTGTACTAATTATATATTTATAAATCAGCAAGAACACTAAAGCCATAATTTGGCCTTTGGTATTCCAGCAATATGTGTTTGAATAAATCTGCCTTTTTTGATCTTCCCTGTACTTCCTAACTGATATATATTTGAACTCTTCTCTTTTTTGTGTGTGATTTCTTGCTGTTAGAAACTATAGAAATAAAAACCTTGTCAGTTTGATGTAGAAATGGGAAGACAAAAATAGAGGTGCTATTTGAGTAGTGGGTTATTAATTTCAGCATTTAGAGAGTTTACTTAAAGGCATGTCTCCAATGGCATTGGGATCTCAATATTAGATTTCTTTTAACAAATTGCATAAATAGTTGGATCATATTAATGATGTAATGTAGCAATCAATAGGACAATATTTTAAAAAGTTTCTTCTCTATTTGAAGATATATTTTTATGTTTGCTATGAAAGCAAATTAGACAGCGATTGGAAGAAAATATTAGAATCATAATATTTTTCTGAAAAAAATCTGTTATTAGAGATGTTCTGTTTTTGATTATTTGTAATTTAGGGAATCTTTTTACAGATACTTTTACCAATACATAATTCTGGGAAACATAATGCTGTCAAAAATCAATGCTAGGATTATTCCATTAATGAAAATAAATATCAGACTCTAAAGGATATAATTTATCCTTTATTGCTTTGTCAAACTTTTAATACATGAAGAAAATTGAATGCTAACAAGCATTTTGCTACAATGTAATAATATATATCCATTTTCCCTGGTGGGATTATATGAAAACCTGTGCCATGCATAAGAACTGGCTTAGTTTTAGCACTAGAATTCAAAATGCTAAAGTCTGTTTAATTTTCAGCTATCCAGAAGATAAGTCAGTAATAAGTTGTCCGATCTTCTCTTTATTTCCTTTCTTCATCTAAAGCTGATGACCAAGTTTTGCAATGAAGTATTTAGGTTTTTATTATCTATATATATTAAACTTTTTAGAAGAATATGAATTGGTAAAAGAAATGTAAAAAGAATAAAAAGATAGTTAAGTAAATTATCTGAAATGTCATGACAATTATTTTTAAATATATTATTAGTTGCCCATAAAGCAATGAAATATATCATTTTTTTAAAGGAAAAACTAAAATTGCTATTACTAGATAACAATAAAACACTACTTGGAAAAATGGGATATAATTAGATCAACATTAGAGATCAAATTTTTCATAAAATTGAAATGCAGACTCCAGTGTAAATATCAAGCAAGGGTCTCTTTTAAATTGGATAATGAGATGGGCGGCATATAAATTTAATAGTTTACTTATATTTGTATCAGTTCATATACCTATGCAAACCATCTGGAAATGCAGTGAAGTCAAACTGGCGGCTCATGGGCTGGATGCATCACGCACAGGCCATGCCCACCCCAGCTCCGCAAAGGCAAAAAAAATTTCACAATACGTGACGTGATTTTGACACCTGCGTTCTAGAGCATCTAATACTGATAACACACAATCCCAATGGAATTTAATCAATTTAGTCATTTAGTGAGACTTGCTCTGTAATTGGTTTATTTAGAGTTATTGCAAATGAACTTTCTGCTTATAATTCTTCAGTTCGTTCTTCATTCGCTGTATCTGCAACTTCTTTCCATACCTGTTGTGAATATGGTATGGAATAAAAATATAACTGGTATGATATTGTCAAGCAAAATGTGAAGCTTTAACTGCAACTCTTAATATTTTACTAAGCAGTCAGGATTACTTTCTGGTTGTTTCTGTTGAATTCTTCCACTTAATTCATTCATAAATTAAAATGACTGTTTATAGTAATTGCTACACTCCCAAAATAGAAACAAAGATGAGGTTTTATGCTCCTTATAGCCAGTATATTCACCCCTGAAAACTTAAATTTGTTTCCATTTTAAAGTAGCTACCTTTCTTATGTATGGCTAATCTATAATTTTCATCAAACTATAGAAGATGAGACTTAAGTTTTTGAAAATTTTATAATATTTTCACTGTCTCGTTGAAAAAGCCAACATTGATATTGGCGATTCACTAGTATAATATAATCTGGCAATTTTATCCCTGTATTTGGAAGTAAGGGGGGAAATCCATTTGTAAAAGAATGTAAATATATTTTCAAAAATATATATAATAAATACAGTACTGTACCTACAACAAAGGTAGTTAATGTATTAAAACCTGCACTTGAATTGATGGTGTTGAAGCTAAATACTTTGTAGAATTCTAATCATTTGGATACATTAAATCTAAGATATAGGAACTTGCATGTTCCAGGAAATACCCAAAGTTTTTATGACAGGTAGAAAGTCCATATTCATTGGATTGCATTATCAACCAGGCTTATTTCCCAGAGATTTTTCAGGGTCTATGAAAATCAGCGGGAATGCTTGTGTTCCCACAGCTTTGACAATATAGTTTTATTTTTATTCCTTAAACCAGCATCTCTCAACCTCAGCAACTTTTAAGATGTGTGGACTTCAACTCCCAGAATTCCTTAATGTTGAGGTCTGTACAGCACTTAAAATTTGTTGAGGTTGAGGAACGCTGCTCTAGATACTTGCCTTGTCACGTGGTAACCCCTAATTCTCAAATTATAGCCATAGCATGACTTTTAGAGGAAATTTTTAACTGCGATTGTCCTCGTTAGTTTTATAACGCAGATGTAATTTATTAGGAAATATTGTGCACATATAATACATTTTTATATCAGTTCTCACTGTTGGTAACTTCTTGATGAGCAGCATAGTTAAAACGTTTAGGCACACTTTAAAATGCCAATAAGAAAATCGCACGTTTACTGTACATCAGGGAGGAAACAAAGAGAACGTACTGTTATTCTGTTTATGGTTTAGAGACGATCTGTTTAGTTCTGGTGAGGCTCTGGAGATGCAACACACAAATAATCACGGATGCGCGGCGGAAGAAGAGTACATTCAAATGAAAAAGCAGTAAAATTCAAGCGGAAAGGCAGTAAAACCAATGTATGTTTCAACTACTTTTTTCCGCTTCCTTCCTCCTCTCCCACCCCCCCGGCCATTATTCTAAAACTACTTCTTATCCATCAGCCTTAAACGCTTTTCGAAATTCCGGCCATTCGAACAGACTAATCCAGTGTTTTCTCAACCTTGACAATTTTAAGGCATGTGGACTTCAACTCCCAGAATTCCACAGCCAGCAACGCTGGCTGTGGAATTCTGGGAGTTGAAGTCCACATGCCTTAAAATTGTCAAGGTTGAGAAACACTGGACTAATCCGTCCAATCAGGCGCCGGCTTCCTTCGGGGCTCTGATGCGCAGCGTTCCCTCCTCCTTCGTAGGATCTCACGGAAAGCCGCCGCTCGCGCGAGCCCCGCCCCAGAGCTGTGCGATTGCCCAGAATGCAATGCGGAGTAGAAAAACTGTGGAGGCCTGCCCGCCATCTTTGTGTGGGCAGTCAGGGCGAGCGATCGTGGTGTGCTTGTGAATGGGAGCGAGCGTGGTTTGGAGGATGCTTGAACCGCGTCTGTAGTTTGTGTGTTACCGTGTGTAAGGTTTCGGGAGGTGTATGTACGTGGCCCTGCTCTGCAACAATTGCTTTTACACGTTGATCTTATTTGATCGGGCCGAGATGTCGCCGCCTTCCCGGCCTGAAATGAAAAGACCCGCTTGTGTGAAGCCCTTGGCGCTGTACGGAGAAGCCGGTTTAATGAGCGTGCGGCAGTATGGTCGGAAATGATGAATTGATCAGATAGATGAGGCTGGAGGTTGGAAAGTTCCTCTTCCTAGCCAATGTGTATCGAAGCGATTCTGATCCGGCTTCAGCCAAGGAACTTCTTTGTTCCGGGGGGGTGGTCGGCTTTTATTCCTCGGGTTAGAAGCACCGCCGTCGACTAAAATCAGGATTGGATTTTCCTTAACCAACAGCCTGTGCTGGCCGTTGAGTAGGTTTTCTTTAATATGTAATAAAGGTAATGCGCCCAAGATGCTTGCGATGCTCTAAAGATCGATCTGAGTATGGTATGCGTCTTTGGAAAAAAAAATGATAAAATGGATTTTATCAAAGCACATGGGCGCATGGTGGTTAAGGTGCTGCCAGGACCTCTTACAGCTCCAGACTAAGAGCTTCCTCTTCAGGAACTAGTTTGTGCATACAAGTTTGAGAAGTTGCTTTTTAAAAAAAAGCTCTTTCTAGTATCACAATTAAAATTCCGACACAAAACAATGAGAAACTCCCAGCTATCGTGGCCAATGAGGAATCAAGGGAGTTTTAACCCCTGTGAAATTTCAAAATGTGATCTCAGTTGAAACGGGACATACCCTATTACTAGTAACCTTAGTGATACTTCTTACTTTTATTTCACTAGTAACCTTAGGGATACTTATTATTTAAGTAGTAATCTTAGTGATACTTATTTTTATTTATTGGGGCAAGAAGCCAGTTATAAATGAGACTAGACTAAGATGAAGACTTTGGATTGTACTCTGTTCATTTTTCTTTAATTTCTGCTTTTTTCATGTCTTGGTATGCATTCCTGGCAATTAAGGATTATGCATGTATAGAATGTTTTGGGGGTATGATAGCTCAGCAATTAAAAGACTGAGCTTGTTTAGCTAGCAGCCTGGGTTCAAGGCCTGAGTGCTGTGTGACTAGGTGAGCTCCCATTACTAGCCCCAGTTCCTGCCCACATAGCAGTTCAAAAGCATGAAAATGCACATAGATAAATAGGTACCATTTCAGTGGGAAGCATTCCATGTGCCTCAGCGTATAGTCATGCTGGCCACATGACCACAGAAGCATCCTTGGACAACTCTGAAAATGTGGACTTGCAAGAGTTCGTGCTCTTTTGAGAATATAAAGAGATAATGTTCAGGGAGTAACCAGTTTGAATCCAACCTTTATATGAATGTAGTAAGAGGTTATTTTTTTAAAAAAAAATCTTATTGTAAACTTTACCCTATCATCTAGCACAGGGGTGTCAAACTGCCGGCCCGTGGGCCGGATGCGTCATCCAGAAGCTGCACCCATCCCATTGCCGGCAATGGCAAAACCGGCTGGATACGTTGTGCGACATCACGTGACGTCGCGAGTTTGACATGTCTGATCTAGCAGGACAAGCAAGCTAATTTTAGATAGTGCTTAATTGTAGATTAGACAAGCCAGTTTTGCAGTTTTACTGTGCTAGTCGTAACCAACCTTAGGGGCAGTGCTTATATCTATTTCTAAGCCATTGAGCCAGCGCTGTGATATATTAGACCACGGGAAAATGATACCAGATGAATTTTCAGTTCAAATCGGCAAGAACTAGCTTGAGAAGAGATAATGTTCCAAATTTCTTTAAGATATATACAGTGAAACCTTTAATGCTAATTAACTGAGATGATGTAATGCTTAGATTGTTTATTCAGGAAATTGCATGATTTGATATACAAGAAAGGATATAACTGATTTGGAATTAAAATGTGAAACAATTATTTGGGATCTACAACAACTTTTTTTTAGAAAAGCAGAAAAATTGCATCACAGGAACCATAAGGCAATAATGAAAGAATATAGGTGAAAATATTAATTAAAAATGTATATTAGAGTGATAAAAAAAAGTTCAGCAGAGGAGAATGGGTTGATTCTAACAGCATGTTACTGGATAGATTAGTTAAAAAACTGCAATAGGGAGACAATACTGAATAATGAAAACAATGGACAAAGCAGATAAAATCTTTAAAAGTATGGCTTTATATGTGAAGATAAAGGATAAAAAATTAAGTCAATGCAGTAGACAGGAAGTGGATAAGCCTAAGAGGTATAGAAATCTATCTTTCTTGGGTTTCTTGACCTCTTTCTTTGAGCAAAATTCTCACAACCTACACTTTGCATAGCTAATAATCTAACATCACTCAAAAGTATAGGCTTAAAGTGCCAAGGGAAAATATCAATTCAGTAATGTATCATAAAGCATCAACTTCCAATTTGAAATAAACATTACTGGGCTGGTTTTGAGATTCATTTGTATTGGCAATCTTTGGCTCCAGCTTACTTTTGAAACTTGCACATAGCCACGGTGTTTATAAATGACATCAGGTGCTTTGTCTCCTCAATCTGTGGCAGTTTTTGTACTTGCAGAACTTTTTATAAAGGTTATAGAATTGTGTATTTTGGCATTCGGCCCTTGTTCCTGGTTGGCATTCTTTTTGATCTTGATATAATAGTTTTAATCTTCAGAAGTTGGATCACTCTGTTCTTATGGAAATTTGTGTTCTGAAGTACTCCATAAGTGTATTAGGAATAATTTAGGAATGAAGTTATATTTGCATTTTGTTTTTGAAAAACATTTTTTAAAGACTAATTGATGTTCATATTTTACTTTGAGATATTAACTAAGATAGTTTTAGCGTAAGATTGTGTAAAATAATACTGTAATGGTTCAATATAAATAGTATCTTCTTTAGAGTTGAACCCAAAGTGGACTATATTCTATTACTTCAGTCCTAACCAAATATCTGAATTTATTAGGCCTGATATGTTTGGGGCTTGGTCCATTGGCAAGAACAAGCTGCTTTTTCAAATATGGCACAGCTGAGCTTTTACTAAAATTCAGTGAAGCTGGCTGGTTTAATGGATGACCTGAAAACTAAGCATACAGTGAGCCAAGAGTTAACAAATAGGCAGCAAGTACAGACGAAAGGACCCTGCAAAAATCATTAATGATAGAAGATCCCACCATTCTCTTTACGGGAATATCCACTGTTTGTGGCAGCAGTATGTGGAGATTCTGCAAACAAAGACAAATTATTTTGTCACTGTTATTTACTGTTCTGAGAATTGACACATACCCCAAACGCACGCGCACACACACACACACACACACACACAAATAACTGGTATCTTGCAATGGAACAAAGCTACAGAACTCTCTTGACTTTATTTTATCTTTAAAATTATGTTATGCAGCCGGGAACATTTTTTTAAATACCTATTTTTACTGTATGTTAGGTTCTGCTTCACTGAGCTATTGGCATTTAATTATTTGTAATATAAAGTTTACATCACTCTGGTATTATCCACTTTGAATGACGAAGCTTTTAACACAGACCTGTGATTAAGGATATAATATATTATCTCAAAAGAAAGTTGGATAAAATAATCTAAACTAACTTGAGGGGAAGGTATTTGAAAATTGATGTACTGAAAAGGTTTCTGTTCTAGCTCCTCTTCAACCAAAAAGGCATTTAATGGTCATGCTTACCAATGGCTCCCTCAATGTGGTGGATAGATTCTTTTACAGGGTTAGCCCAGTGTCTCACAGTAATGCCCTTGGAGGTAGGATGCTGAACTGAAGTGTATTTCTTCACAGGCTCTAAACCCTTCAATGTTCTGCCGTGCTCAAAAACAAAGGACGCGCATTAGCAAGAAAGTGTTGCCTCTTGGGCAGAAATAATTGTTGAATGGTAAACATTAAAGTGAATTAATGTATTGTGCAAATAATCTTTAATTAAGTAAAAGAAGTAGAATAAGACTATTTAGCTAAGGAAACAGTAGCATGCTGTTCAAATTTATGAGAATGCTTAGAATTAACAGGAATTATTGACTCAGAGTTAGAAAGGACCATTTAGGTTATGGAGTTTAATCATCTGTTCAGTACAGAAAATGAATTACACTATCCCTGATAAATGACTTTAAAGTATTCTCCAGTATATGTCTTTAACTAGAGATTGCATTCTGGAGCTGGAAACATTTAAGTTATGTTTTCAAACATGCATTTGTATTTATTTCAAATTGAAAATATTAAAAATGTATTTTACATGCCTGATACTAGTTGAAATTTACCCTGAAGAAAATGAAATGTAGCTGATGTGGACAAACTTGTTTAATGTAAAAATATAATCTAATAAATATGATGGATAGGCTTATTGATCACACAATGTACATCCTATTGTTGGTTTCATAGCTATAAGAATTGCAGCACTATTAGAGTATGCATCCACTGGAGTCTGATGCTCGTTTTTTAAATTTAGAAGAATAAAAATGTATGTTTACCCATGGTCATCAAGGAGGGTCTCCTTATGGAGGACTACTTGACTTTTGTCTTTAAGCAGGTCTTCATGGTGATTGTATAGAGAACTGAGATTAAAATCCAAACTGTCTTTAGAAATCTGCAAATGAGATTAGTAAGCGGGAAGCATGTTGACTTACAAGCATACATTAGAGAAAGTGCAGTAGAAATGTTTTAAAGGTTAAATAGTATATGCAAACTTTTTAGGAATTGCCTGTCTAACAGCAAAACAGAAGGCAAAAATGAAGATATGTATTAAGGTAAGAACCTTGCAATAAATGTTCTCAGAATTAAGATTGTACAAAGTTGTACAATTGTAAAACTACATTTTATATATCTACCCAGATTAGTAGAATGCATTTATATCAGAACACAAAAAAGCAAGGTGCCTTATCCAGATGCCTATAAGTTATATATCAATATAAGTTGCTTCATTCTTCATTGGTTTCTTTTATAGTGAAATTAATAGTAATAATAGAATTTAAAATATATCAAATATGTAATAAAAATAAAATATGTAATAGTAATATCTATCTACCTTGGTCATATACATTCTAGATCATATAGAAGCATCTTCATTCTATAATATAAATACATTTCAAAAAACAAAACACATCTCTACAATTCACTCTTGACACATGGAGTGTTGTTTTTCCTTATATTTTAACTGATCCCTATGTTTGTGCCAATTAAAGTAAAATGGGAGCAAACCCCACTCACTACTAGCACTGATGTTATGTAGTTTAGTACTAATGAAACATCTGCAAGAAAATAACCAATCTCAGGGAGTAAAAGACTCTTAATATAATGTAAAATTCTGTAATTTTGGAATGTAATTTAAAATTCCATTTATATATAATAATAATAATAATGATAAAGTTGGAAGGGACCTTGGAGGTCATCTAGTCCAACCTCCTGCTCAGGCAGGAAACCCTATACCATTTTGGACAAATGGCTGTCCAGTTTCTTCTTAAAAACTTCCAGTGTTGGTGCATTCACCGCTTCTGGAGGCAGGTTGTTCCACTGGTTAATTGTTCTAATTCTCTAAAATTATATTAATGATTTGAAATGAAACTATGACAATACAACCAAATTATACAACCAAATTATATGAAAGAGCCCAAAAATATCTTACAATGCCATTATGAGAAATGTCATGACAAGAAATATTTAAGAATGAAAGTTTGTTTGGAAAGTTCAGTAAACATGAACCAAGAATTTCTAATTAAGTAATTTCTTGATTAGCATTTCTTAAAACTTGGTCCCATTGATTTCCCAAGAATTCCTTATTCCACAAATAAAATATTACCATCCTAACTTCAATTTGCATACAATTGAATTGTTAGGTTGTATTTCAAATACAGTTTCTAGGCATTGATTCCTTACTCAGCTTATGATTTCCCCCATTTTCAAATTAAGATTACTCCATAACATCTGTTTCTCATGTAATCAAGTTCAAAATTTAACAGCTTCTCTATTAATGCATCTAGCAGCCTTCAAAGCTATAAAGGTGTACATTTGCTTGATAAAAATTGACCCAAGAACTTGTCAGATTTCTAAAGACACACTGGCTCTCTAAACAAACCCCAAGCAGATAATACATTTTCATTCTAAACAAACATTTTATCAAATTGAAGTGTCCCTTTCAGGTTCTCAAGGTCTATTTAATACCCATTTCTAAGGTATTTTAAAGAAGGAGAATAGTAAGGCACTAAAGAATAAAGAGAATGCACCTTGAAAAACAACAAAAGATGGCAGTATCATTTCTTTTTTTACCTCAGGTTCTGAATACCAGACTTCTCTTCTGATGCTTGCCAAAGTTGCTGTTCCATGTAGACGATTCCAGGTGTCTTGTTGCTGAGAAAGATGGGAGGGCATGTCATAGAACAGTGGTGGCAAACCTATGGCACGGGTTCCAGAGGCGGCACTCTGTGGGCACACATGCTGTTGCTCCAGCCTTGCCTCCCCCCATGACACCCTCCTCACCAGCAGCCTTCCTGGAGAAGGGTCGCCCCTGAGCATGGCCCACGCAGAGCAGTGCAGTCAAGGACATGGCAGCCAGGCAATTCTGCCCTCACGCCCCATCGCGCACAGTTGATGCTGCGGGGTGCGGGCAGAGGGCATGACTGCCATGGTGCTGCTGGGCGATCTGCGGCGGGCCCTGGAGGCGATGAGTGGCCCTGCGGGCAGGCGGAATGGGGGTGGAGCAGGGGCGGTGCCAGTTTTTGGGCACTCGGTCTCTAAATGGTTCGCCATCACTGTCATAGGAGGTTTTCTGAATCAATAAGAATGATACTAAACTTATTGTACTGACTCAATAAAAAGATAAAACTTAACTGCTTATTTATATTAACTCTTAATATTGTCTAATTATTGAAGTTGGAACCCAAGGAATGCGCACATGCAATAAAAATATTGGCATCTTCCTGACTACTTCAATCCTATTGACTCATGTACGTTTAAAATGTAGGATTAGTCATATGCAGTAAGATAGCCATATGCAGTAAGACAAATACAGCTAGTCCTCGACTTATGACTACAATTGATCCTAAAATTTCCATTGCTAAGCAAGACAATTGCTAAATGAGTTTTGCCCTTTTTTACGAGTTTTCTTGCCACAGATGTTAAATGAATCACTGCAGTTGTTAAGTTAGTAACAAGGTTTATATGTGATGATATATTAAGTGAATATGGCTTCCTCATTGATTTTGCTTTTCAGAAGATTGCAAAGGTGAGTGCATGATCCCAGGACATTGCAAACATCAAATACATGCCAGTTGCCAAGTGTCCAAATTTTGATTACATGACCATGGTAACACGGCAACAGTCATAAGTCAGTTTTTGGTCACTGAATGGTTGTAAATTGAGACCACACAAGTTTTTCTAATCAGAAAAAGTCAACATAGCAACAGATTTCAGCAGATGGATAATACCAAACCATTCTTACTTTAAAAGGAGATCTAAAATGTTATATAAAACTCACCTTGTATTTTTAAGATTACAAGCTACAAAGGATTCTCTACATATTTTAGGCAGTCTTCCTCAACCTGTTAACCACCCAAAGGAATTGGAATTAAATGTATAAACATCTTGCCAGACTATTAGCATAGAAGTCTGGAACTTGCAGTCTAACACCTCTGGCGTCACATTGGGGAAGACTGATGTTAACTTAGCTACTTGGTAACAAATCCCAAAACTGGTTGCTTGACTTGGACAAACCTGATTGCTTGGCTTAACTCAGATTTGAGTATCTGGCCAATTAGATCTTTGGTATACATTCTAACAGAGGTTCTATTGTTGTGTCTTACAGTAGTTCAGTGTTTTCTTGTCTTTCCATTTTTTCCTCAATCCCCTTGTTTAAGGAAGTTCTCATTAACTCAGTGAAATATAAACATCTACAATAATTGCATTGTGTTCTTTTATGTTTTGCATTTTTATAAAGAACATTAAAGCAAGAGAAGATCATTAATTTTGACAATTTTGATCTTTCTTTCATCCTGTGTCTCCAAGTCTCTCTTGTGCATCTTGATTTATTACTCTGGGTGTATAATAAATATGAGTCATTAAGGGACAGAAATTGTCTGAAAAGCAAGAAAATAGGACAAACTTCCCAGATGTGAATTTTATACACACTAGACTAGATGTATTTAGGGTTATTTTTAAAGCCAGACCTCCACATTTTATCCTGTATTAATAAACATTATAAAATATGCATCTCAGGTTAAAAAGTAGTTTCTGACATCATCTGTAAAATATTAAGACGCTAAAGGGAGGCTGCCGTATCATTGAATTAATTAATTAATAGCATCTGGTCCCTAAATTTCATTAGGATAAAGAAAATGCACCGCAATGCGAATGCTTGTGTCTATATATTTAAAATAAAATAAAATAAAGGGATCTCTCTTACCTGTGCATTCCTATTACCACAGTATGTATTTTCATTTTCGTAATTAGGGAATGGGAAGGAGTTCCTAGCGGGTGACATACTCTCAGCACTGTAGGGTTGCCAGTCGTCGGTGCGGATCACGAGTTCTGTCTCCGCGTGTCAGTTTTGTTTAGGATACGATGGCGGTTGCTAAGCGACAATGACCGAATCCTCCGGCCGCTACGTATTGAAAGCGCCCTCTAATGGCTGGAAATAAAAGCGAAGCTCTTCGAGGCAGAAAGAAAGCACGAAAAAACGGCGCGAGGCTGGAAAGGACCGAAGTCGGCAGACCCTTTATGCTCCTTCACGTGAAATAAAGAAAAAAACAACCCACTTTTACAAGAATATTTATAAAGTGGAACCCACGTTTCCTTCATTTTTTACGGCCCATGCTTTAAGCGCCCTGAATAGCTCTGAAAGACCTTTACAATTCTCTCCCTTCCTGAAGCCCAGCGGGATTACACGGAAGAGTTAGTCCCAGGTGAACGGAAACGTTCAGACAGTGCCAGTCAAACCCCAACATGAGAAGCGAAGCGCCCCTTTTAATGGTTTCAGAGCCCGACAATAACTTTGGTTAAGGGGAGCGAGCTCCCAAGGAACCGGCAGGCCAGGTGCGAACAGAGTCGGGCTGCTGCTTTGGGACCCTTGGCCGCTCCTGTGTGGAGAACGGCTGCCCAAAGCCGGGTTGGATCGTTAGTGCAGCGCGCGCGGCTTGAGCGACTCCGGCGAGGCCTTGCTGGGGGCCGCTGACTGAGCGCTTCGAAACCGAACGGCTTTCTTTTCGTCGCGCGCGCCTTTCGAGCCTCAGGTGCTCCTCGGCCTCCGGAGGCCGCGCGGCGGAGGCAGCTGCGGTTGCTAGGCAGCGAGGTGTGGGCGGTCCGAGGGGGCGGGGCGGGCTCCTGCATCCTTTTCTGCCCCAGAGCGCGGCTACCGTCGCACCTGAGTCGGTGACTGTCTGCCCGAGGCGCAGCGCGACTACCGGCTCCTCGCGGTTTCTCCTGCGCCACGATGGCTGGGGCTGGCAGGCTTCATCCTGCTGAGGGGATAACCAGATGCTGCTGCCATCCTGTTGGGATCGGGTGGACGCGCCTGCCGCTCCTTCTGCTCTGCCTGTTGTTGCTGTTTTGGGCGGGCGCCGCTACCGCCCAGGGGGAGAATCTCCACGCCTGCAAAGAGGTACCCGCGGGGGGGGGGGACAGGGGGACATCTGACTCTTTCTGCGTGGGGGGAAAAGCGGGGAGGGGGCATCTATGACCAGGTCGGAAGAGTGGAATCAGGAGGTCCTTCCTTAAAATAATTGGCGAAATATCGTTGTGTGAGCCCTGGGTTTTAAAAAAGAAAGAAAGAAAGAAAGAAAGAAAGAAAGAAAGAAAGAAAGAAAGAAAGAAAGAAAGAAAGCACTCTCCTATCAAAGTAGAGAAAAAGCCACTCTAGTTGCGCCTCCTTTCTTTCACTTAGGTCTGAATAGCAGAAGCAAAAATTTTGGACAGATTTTGATTGAGATGGGCATTGGCAAACATAAACATCTGGCTTCTCCAACCCCCCCCCCCACCCTGCAAGTATTTTGGGCTACTAAGAAATAACACATTAGGATCAACTTCTGTTTAATGGGCTAACAGGGAGTGTGTGTAAAATGTGGACGTAAACTAACTTCATACCACTTTAGAATGAGCAGAAGGAGAAGAGAAGACTTCAGAATGAGCAAAATTTTGGACAGCAATGAATCAGCAGAGAGGCTGAGTTTCGTTAAATCACTGCCCTCTGAATTTTGTACACATTACCTATGAGACCTCTGTTATCCCCATAGAAATGGACAGGTGTTGATGCTTTCTAAAGACCCATTCTACCTTAAATGTAGCCGAAATAGAGTGTAGCATATTTATTGTGACGTGGGCTTTTTGCTTAAAGATGTGTTAGCCTTTAAGATGCAGCTGTGTTCCCTGTTATTTAACAGTGTCTTTGGCCTAAGCAAATGCTCTAAAAGCAGCAGTGATACCTGCCTTGGCTTAAAGCAAAGGTAATAGCTAGAATACAACTTGCAAAGCAGAAGAGAGAGTCTGTCTTTCAACTGCTGCTTAACTTTCTAGTGCATAAATATTTGTTTGCCTGGATCCCACACCCACTAGGTGCTGGCTGCAATTTACCTTGGGAAATTGACCAAATGTTTGCCTATTTTTTATCTTCAGGTTACGTGGCAGGTTGTCAGTGAGTCAGACAGGACTAACTTCCTATTAGGTTAATATAGCATTACCTTAATGTCTTTTGAGCTTGTTTTTGTTTCCTTTTGAAGGATATAAAGTATGGAAATGAAACTAAATACAGTGAAATAAAACAGGGTAAAAGAATTATAGTAAAAAAGCAACCAGGCGCATGAGAGTTAATACCCTTGTATTTGCTTTTGTTATACGGACGATTGTTGCATTCCAGAGGCTGAAATGGGTGAGGCAAGTAACACTTCTTGCCATATGGTTCACTTTTTAAAATTGCTTTGGAAATGCCACTTTCCTGAATTTATTGAAATACAGTATTTTTTCCTATTGCACTTTTATGAGTAGCTTCTTAGATTTTTTTCAGTTGCTTTACACTGCAAATTGTACCACTTTAAAAGTTAGTGCTATTGTCGTAAAGTACTTTCTGCCCATTTGAAGCTGAATTTGGTAACCATTGTCAACCTGGTGCTCTGCTGTTTTGGAACTTCAGTTTCCATAATCCCCAGTCAATATGCTAACAGCTATGCCAGGTGAGAAATGTAGTCTTACCATATCTAAAGAGGAAAGCTTACAGTGAGTTCTTATACTGTATGCATATATGCATCTATTAAATGTACAGCTTGCTTCTTATTACTGCTTATGCAGTAACCATTTCTTTGCTTTCTGTATTTATTGCCAATATAGTAATTCAAAATAAACAAACTGCAAACTTATAAAATATGACTTCTTACCTCCTGAACATTTATAAAATCAACACAAGAATGGGATATAACCACAGAGCATCAATTAAATTTTCAGCAGGCTATATTATCGGTATGATTGTGAATGTTGCAATTTCAACTCTGTTGGAAACATGACTGTAGTGGATAAAATAAGGAGTTCAGCAAGTAAACTGTTAAGTTTTCATAAAGACCATACAGATTTTCCTGAAGACTCACTAGCCCGATATGAAAAAGTTATAATACTATTTTTTTTCCTCAAAGACATATTGTTTTTGAATCAAGAATATGAATGCATGCATTTGGTTATGGGACCAACACATGGATGAATTCTTTGTGCCTTTTATAAATATGCTTTTGCAAATATGTATGACAATGAGGCCTGGATGTGAATTAATTACAGGAGCTGTACAGTCAATCTTTAACAATACTGTAAGCTGAAGATAGAGGAATATCCTTGGGCAGAAGGGCAGGGGTAAAAAAAATCAAGATGGCAACTAAGACCACTTGATTGAAGACCTCCCGTGTTTATGTGTGTTACATGATGAATATATAAAAGAGACAGGACTTTTGTTGTGTTATGGTCATCATCTTGACTTTTTTGACCCTCTGAAGACTCTTCTGGTTGAAGATTTTCTTTTGCTAGTTTATAGTGGTGAGCAGAGCAAAAAGATTACTTTGACATGGCTCTAGACAAAATAATTCTCAATGGCCCAGAGGAGATACATAGTATGCTTTTCTTATCATGTAAGCTAAGAGATTAATATAAATCCCAGGATAATGTGGAATAATTTCAGAATGATCAACTATGTCATTTTGATGGAAAAGTATTCAGAACACACTCTTCTCTGCACTCTCATGATTGCATAAAAAGTATTTGGTTTAACTGCAGCATCAAAAAATGGTTACCATTTCAATTGCCCAAGAGTTTATTTCCAGATAATTGCTGCTTACTGCAGAAACTTAATTTCCTCAGAAACAAGTTCTAATTAAATATTAGATTTATTCCAAATCATTTCAAGTTCATATACAAAAATATAATGTGACTCCTGTTGAACGTGAGTCACTTGGAAGATTAGTAGAACTTGTTTAAAAGATAATATGCTTTGGCTTATGGCCAGATGGCTCTGTGATCAACTTGGCAATTACATTATGTACTTGGGTTTTCATTTGATAAAAATATTTTTTATTTTATTAATTACTTCCTTTTTAACTGGTCAAATAAGATGATTAAAATTAAATACCAAATAGTGGACTCTGGTTTTTTTTTTAAAGACCTGCACAGCTTTTGATCCATCCAGGTAATGCTACCATTAGGTACTAGGAGTTGCCAGGTTTTAATAACTTTCACAATTTTGGAGTTTAGGATAGAAAAAAAGGTTTCTTATAGCTTAGATGGGAGCACTACAGCACTTAGTCATCTGTAACTCTGCCTTGTACAGTAAACCCAGATGAAAATAATTGGTTCTCATTACTTACCTATGCTTAGCTTTTATGAGTCATATATAAATATCTCATCTACTTCAAGCCTGAAATGGAAATGATATAGTTGCATTTAGTGAGCTGGGCTACTGAGAAAAGGAAGGGAATATTAAATGCATTTAAGAACAACACATGTCATTTAAGGATTTCAAGTTATTGGCAAGATTAGTTCTGCCTGACAAAATTCCAGCAATCAATTACAAAAAGCAACATATACTTGGATCCGCACATATACTACACGGATACATTATGGCAGCCAAGGTTCTTGGGAAGAACTCGATGTGGATGAAGGCCAACACCAGTTAAAGAAGTGGCAACTGTGATTTTACATTTTGTATAAATAATAATAGATTACAAAATAGACAAATAGAAAATGACGCTAAAGTGCTCTGGGACTTTAGAATTCCAACAGACAAGACCTGGAAAAAATCACAATAAACAAACTAGCAAATAGAATTAGAATGACTCTTTTCAAAAGAAAACAAAGATAGTATCACTAGGCGTCTTGGATTCAATCCCAAAACATCTGGAGCATCATTTGAAGACCATCCTCATTGACAAAATCACCATCAATCAATTGCAAAAGGCAGCTTTACTTGGAATAGCTTACATCCTGTGATGGTATCTTTAACATCATCAAATATCAATATCTGCCTATTCCAGGTCCTTAGGAAGGATTCGATGGGAGGATAAAAATACCAAAACCAGTCTAAACATCTGACTGATTGTGCAACCTATCTATCATAATAGATTATTTGGATTTGTGGGTTATGCTACAATCAGTAGATGGCATGAGAGCTGGAAGGTATGTGATATGCCACAACCCAAATATGGATAATTGAACATATTTAAAACATTTTGAAGTAAAAATTAGAAGGGATTTAATAAATTATGAGCCCTGTTGGTTACTTATATTAACACCTTTGTACTTATACTGTAGGCTAGATTAGTGAAAGCTAAGGCAGTTTATTGAACATTTAGAGCAGGGGTCTTCAAATTTGGCCCTTTTATGACTTGTGGACTTCAACTCACAGAATTCGTGCTCAGGAATTCTGGGAGTTGAAGTCCACAATTCATAAAAGGGCCAAGTTTGAAGACCTCTGATTTAGAGAATCTTGGTTGCATTAATTTCTATCCTGCTCTTTACTCCTAAAGGTTTCCAGAGTAAGCCAATCCCTGTAGCCAGATTTACAACCTACAAAGATAAGACACGGAAGGAAAAGTTGACAGAGTGGACCAAAAAAAACCAAGGATCATAGTCACCAGTTATTAATGTTTAATGGTTCTTCTAATAATTGTGAAGGAACTGAGGCCCTCAGGCAAGGTTCAGAATAAATAGATGA